GGATGTTGCCATATAGTTCCTTGTTGGTTGGGTGATTTTTCCAGGATTTGTTTAGGGCAGCACAAAGCACTCTTGTGTATGCACCATCTATCTTATATTCCAAAGTTGATGTGACAGTCCAGGTAAACGAAAATGACCTTGCATATGAAACTCTGCACCCAACAGAACTAAGCCAGTTGGTTGGCTCCTAATTGAATTCATTACAAGACAATAATTTCCACATAATCATTTGATAACAATTTCAGTTGCCAAGAGAGTAGCAAAGATACCTGATATCTGGCTTGATTTGGCCAAGAAAGTGTGCCTTCACCACTCCTCTGAAAGAAAAAGAAAAAATTTAAATATTTCATTCAATATTCTACATTGCAGAAATATGGTAAGGTTTAAATCTTGTCAATAACCATTTTCTACTGTTTCTGTTTGGGTGTCAACAACAATGGAAGTTTCTGTGTGGGATTTTCTAGAAATCTGGTGTTCAGGCATATTAACTTGCTAAGTATCAAACCCATTTAGTAGCGAATAAAGGGGGTGAGTTTCAACTTAAAATAAATATACTACTTGTACTGATTCCATGATTGTCAAAATAGCTGCACTGCAATTTCTTAAACCCAGTGACTTGTCAAAACTAAAGCAATAATTCCTCTCTGGCTCAGTGAATGTCTTCAAATGATTCATAACTCAAATTCCCCTATAATTTGACCACAGTCACTCAACCTTTGGCTCCCAGTTATTGAAAACAAAAGAGGAACTTGAAACTACCAAAAGAAAAAGATTACTACTAAAGATATTTGATCTTTTCTTTCACTTACTTTTCCTGAAACAAAATTACCACAAAAGTGTCGTCCATCCTTGTAGGTGAAAGTACCTTTGCGTGTCTCTGAATATCAACATCAAACAGAATTAGCAACTTTTCACCATTCAAAGACAAAAGGTACATGTAGCCAATTTTTTTAAATTCCCAATACAGAAATGGCAATTAATAATAGTAATAGGACTGAGTGAAGTGAGTCCAATTCGGTCTTTAATCATCATGTATATTGCACTATATACGTATGAAATTACTATTATTATCATGAAATGATAATGACATGACATAACACCCCCTCTCAAGCACATTTCAGTGCCAATGATATTGCAAGCACAGCAAAAACTGGTTTTGCAAAATGTACAGTCTTGTAATCTTTTAAAATTGTCTCATCACAATTGTGCTTGGCAAAATTAAATGTGGTTCAACTTTTTCCCATTTGAACAACTCAGGCCTGTGGTCAAAAAGTGAACATTAAAATTACTTTTAGAAAATGCATGCTAAGGTATGCATTTGGCATATGTAGTGAGTCCCACCCCACACTTCAAAGTGCTTAGCTACCTTTACAAGATTCACAATTAAAGCAGTAAAACTATTGTTGGAGTACACCCTGCAATAACAGGGAGTCAATGTTAAGGGGACTTCTATTTAAAATACATATGTTTCTTTCTTTACATCCGTTTTTATTGTAAAGGAGACAATGGCTCTTAGACTGAGTCCTCTAGTAGACACTTTAAGTCTTAGAAAAACTGAACAGTTTTAACACTATAATCAACATGATCAGTTCACCTGGTTACATGCAAAGTTTATACAACATGATAAAACACACCCTGAATAAACAATAGCCAATGGGCCTTGTTTGGAGTCATGAAAGAAGCCAACAATAGAACTGGTTGATGCTCAAACAAATGAAACATTAATCTTGTTATCATTACACAATAACATTTGCCTTGATCTGTATATCATTTTTCCAGCACCCTACATAAAGTGGACCATTACAAGGGTCTAATTGACAACCATTTCTCTGTACAAACATACCAATCTCATCTTTGTCTGTTGCTTCTGTTCCATGTAACGCCATGGCAATTCTTGTCCTGAGCTTCTGTAGCCAATCTTTTTTCTCTGTTTTAGTTCCAGCTTCTACAAAGTAAGACTGCTCTGGTGTGTAAACTTCAAGAGAGTCTTCCTTTCCTGAGAAAATGACAGAATTCTCTCGAGTTTTCATTGTTCAAATTCATCAATCACTTACTTCTTAAGACAGTTCATGAGATGCATTTAAGAGGATTTAAGGGCATTTTCCTCATGATGCTACACCTTCTCTGGATTGCAACTTGACATCTTTCCTCGTTTCCAAAATTCTCTTTGACATGAATCTCAATTTCAAAAATTAAAGTGAAGACTATATATACATGATCAACTTGCACAGCTTTCAGTCAGAGCTTATTCAGCAGTGGTATTTCCAATGAGTACAAGCTCTTTGATCACCATTTTCCAGTTGAAACTGGAATTTGTTGCATCAATGTTTTCACAAGGGAGGAAAGGTGGAGAACCTGGAAAACCAATGGTGTAAAGTACAGAACCAATTACACACTCAACCCACACATGCTGCCAGGTGTAAGGAATTGAACCCAGGCCATGGTAAAGACAAATGGGTCCTTTCAGCCATCCCTGCTCTCTGCGATGTTAGAGTTAAATTTTCCAAGAAACTTCTACCAGTCAGGGCTAAACCACTGGCCAGGCGTCAAGCCTTCCAATTATCAAGCTCAATGTGACAACAACAATTAATAAAATATTACATATTAAATTAATATAGCCAGATATGTAGGCCTGAGGTAAATTCGAGCCTTCCAAAGGGCCATCAGTTGGTAAAAAGTTAGTATTAGTATTAGTATTTTTATTACCTGATTGTGGATTGTTGCCTTCAAGATCCATGCACCACAGAGTGGCCAGCTCAAGAGTTTGCTCCACTTCACTAGTCTTGCTGACACCCTTCACAGCAAACACCAACATGTCACCAAATAACAAGCACTGGACAGAAAATAAAATGGTTAAAAAGGAGGAATTGATCATGATATAATCATATGTATATATATATATATATATATATATGTGTGTGTGTGTGTGTGTGTGTGTGTATATATTATATACACACACACACACATATTGGTATATATACATATATTATATATAAAAGGTTGTTTAAGTCTAGTCCATTGAGAAACATGAATTTATCATGAGTATTCTATTTGTTACTATTTTCTAGTTAAGATGCATAGCAGTTCATCAGAGGTCATATTGCCCAGTGGTTAGTCAGATTTCCCCCACAATTTGTTGCTCCCATTAGTTGTCCCTGTAAGAATCACTCTGAAGATAACCAAGAAATTCTGTCTCAGTCACTCAAGAGAGTTAAGGGTTGTTATTTTAATAGTTTAAATTTCACATATTAGATCACTATTTGTATATTGTCATCCATAGTAAAATTAGAACTATATCAGTAGTATTATATAACTGTAAATATGTAATTCAGTCCTCAGGCTGCCTGTATCTATCAACTATCTACTATCCACCCAAAGCCTTTGAGTTTTGACAAAGAGCTGAAGAATGAAAAGTCAACATCAGAGGGCAATTTGGGGATAAGTACCTTGCGAGTCTTCTTGCCTGATAGGACCACATCAACCTCTTTGATTAGAGCTTGACCTTCAAATGCCTGTTGATATGTAAAATGATATTAACAGAAGAATGCATCTATACAATAGATGCTTATTAAGTGACATATGCAGTATAAGAAACTATTATTAATTGCACCATCATAAATATCATCAAAAATATCATCAGTTATCAACAATGATTGGTATAATTGCAGCAGTGATTATAAAGATGCATGCGCTCTGATTGGTTGAGGTTTGCATCATATCCCACTGCATTCACCTTCCATGAGGTTCATGGTAACATGTTTTGCATGTTTTGTGTTCTTCATGTTCCATGAAGAACACAAAAGAACTACTAAGTTTGGGGTAACACTTTTCAAAAGAAAAAAAATGAAGTTTTTGCTGATTGAATTAATTAAACCAATTACATTCTAGAGGAAACTGGCTGCTTATCTGGATGCTAGTAATCAAAACCAATTGGATCAAGATGGTATCAACAACTGATGAGTTTACAACAGAATTCAAAGGCACCTGAGCAAATACACTAAAACAATTTTTCACCTCAGGCTCAGTGAATATTGTTGAATAATCCTCTCTTCTGTATCTCTGGGATTATTCAATAAAATTCCCTTTGGCTTTACCAAATAGTTGTTAATCATTAAATGGTTTAATCTATTGATATATGCACCTCTAAGATATGCAAACATTGACTTAGCAGAGCTAACAACATCAATTATAGCTTTGAATCTCACCTCCAAACCTATAAGTCTTGATCTCAACTCTACCATTGCTTTCTGGCCAATGGATGTTTGTAACTGATTGTTGATGAATGCTGCTGTGTTTCTCTTTAGTAAAAGAATAATACATAAAATAGCTGTTAGTTATAAGAGCTGCCATAACAAATTTTAAACCTAAGTATGTCAAACGAATACACTTGTTACCATTGTGCTCAAAGCCTTGTTCAATTTATTTCGGTCTGGGTGATTCTCTGGCGTCCTTTTGTAAAGATCCTTGAAAGAAAAATAACAAAATTTTGCTGCATCAACTTGCATAACCCTTTCACTCACATGATCTCAATAGTAATTCTCCTTACTGTCTGCATACAATTCTTATCATGTTAGTTAAGAGAACTTGATATTGGATCAACTAATGATTCCCTGATTGATATTTTTCTTTATTCTCATAACTTGCCTGCTTTATATTGCATTGATACTGTAAGGAGAAATTTTGTCTTGAACACTCATGGGCAGTAAAGGCTCAGATAATATGGATTTGGTATGTAAAGCAATACATTAGGAATCACTGACAATGTGCTAACCTCCAGAAGAAGAAGATATCTTGGAATTCTTTGTACCACTGTAATCAGATATGCAGGAAGATTCAGCCCTGGCTGACAAACTGGATGTTCGTAGCATGACTGAAGGAAATTATTAATACAGTTAATCTATGTTGCCTCTAAATAACAAAACCATACCTTAGTCAAAGGTACAAATGCATATAGACATATTTATTAAATAGAACATGCTGAAAATAAGACACATGTATTTTGAAGTATAGTACTTACATTTAAAAAAGCTTCAAATTCCTTCTTTTTTATCTTTTGCTTGTAAAGAGTCTCTGCAGAATCGTAGTTAGTACAATAATCCGCATATTTCTTCTTCATTCGTTCAATAACCTTGAATAAGGAAAATAACAATCAGCTACTATTAATAACTGAAGAGTACTGTCAATAATTGGACTAAGAAGAGGACAAACAAGTAAAGGGATCAGTTTGAAGTTATCTCAATTTCTCCTTAATTAAATAAAGAGGTCCACTTAGTTTCACTTCTGGTATGGCTTACAGTCAGTCTAACCCACAGTCTGATTGTTTATCACAAGGAATCTGGTTTAGTCCTCATATGTTATTTAAAACCTTAGTTGGCTTTCAGAGGAAATGTAAAGAAAAACATCCTCGTCATGCCTCAGTTCGAGAATAGTCTTGTAGAATTCTGAACCCTAAATGTTTATTTAACAGAAGCTTGTTATATGCACTTAATATGTTGAAGAGTGTATCGTTTTAGCCACCCACCTCATCTGTGAAAATGTCCCCTACACACTGCTCTTTGTCATGCCAGTGGTTGATTAGATAAAGAAGATTAAACAAGACATCTTTGTTGATTTGGAAGATACTAATAAATAAAAATACAGAAAAACATTTTACTCCAGTATGGAAGACATTCATCATTGTATTCTAGGTCAAACAATCCAAAAGACCATAAGCATGGTGACATCTTGATCAACAGTTAATCAACAGCCTTATGTCTTGCTAGCTACATAAACATGACCGAAAGATTAAATTACTGTAGACAGCAGTGTATGAGCCACACCACTTTCCCAAAAATTTTCATAGAAAATCAAATGTGTCATTCATCTGTGTGAACATCTAGAAAACATGCCACAAATTTGCATAAATTGACACCATTTATTGAACATTTTTAAGTCTGCATAACAAAAACTAAACAAGGATAATTTGATCATGGTTTTTGCAAGTTTGGTGGCTCCTAAAGTGACATTTTTGTTCATAAGCATTTTAAGCTTAATATATTCCTTGAGTTGGCTGGTGTTATGAACCTTCCTTGTTAGGATACCTTTACATGCTACACTGAGAAGCTAAACTTGACTTGACAAGGAACCTAGCCATGTACTGTGACAAAAATTAATATTTCAAAAGCTACTTAAGTCCCCTCCTTCCCCTTCTCCTAATCAAATGCTTGGCTTCTAAGCTACAAATGAGCCAACAAACAAACCAAAGATTTCCTGTTTCTCTGTGGAACTCTATTGAAAATCAGAAAGGAATGGAAAGAAAAAATACTGGTTGGACAATACCAGAGTAAGATCAAAACATAAGTCTGAGCTGGCAAAGATGATTTCCATACTATTACAGCTGATATTATAGGTAAGGGTTCACAGTATTCTGTTTTCAACATTAGCAACTGTATGCAAAATAAACCAACTTTTTCAACACTCTTCAAGTGATTTCTTTCAATTTCTTTTCAAAAAAGTGTTTCAAAAACATGATTTGCCAAACTATGAGGTGCAGCTTATCTGCAAGTGTGGCTTATACCCTGGTGATCATAGTATGTAAGTCACTAAACATGAAACAATGAATAAAATTTATTAGAAAACATGGTTTAATAACAAGTCTCTGTCATGAAAGTAAACATTAAGAAAGTCATGAAATTTTCAAATTATCTTTGACTCACTCTTTTATATTACTAAACATTGTTTTTATCTCCTTCTTGTCCAACAATTTGTTTTCTTCGCAGGGCTTCATGAATAACTACATAAAAGAGATAAAATGTTGATTAGGAAAGAAAAAAAACTTTTCCAATGTGCACATGTGCAAGAACAATGTAGGTTCTGTCCTTTTACCTCAATGTGAGGGTTCTTGGGTGTGAACATGGCAAATAAAAAATCAGCTTTTGAGATTCAGCCAGGTTATGGCTCGCACTTTTAAGAAATGGTTCTATAGTAACTACTGTAGCAATCTCTTTATGGCAAATAGGATAACAGACCATTGGTTTTATCAACCAAATGTAACTTGGGCAACCTTAAGCTGATGTTTCAAATGTTACCCTGCGACAGAGAGAAGGGCTAACACTCAAAACATTAGCTTTAGAAACTTTTTGAGGCAGCTAATTCACATTTGCAACTCAGTTGATACAATCAAATTATCTTTTTATAACCCCATCTGACACAGCACCACTGACAGTTTCTTTAGTTACATGAACTTCCCCCCCTTTATCTTGGATACAAGACCCTTGCTAACTCTCAGTTGTGTCTGATGTGTTATTAGTAGCCTTTTTGGTTACATAGCATACACTTTACCACATGTATCTCATTATACCTCACCTGGACGATAGTTTCCAGTCCTCTGATGTAACTCCTCTCTGTGGTATATAACTCCAAGGCTATCTGTGCCCGTCGATTGATTGGAAAGCCTTGAAAGGTGCCCGGCATGTTATCTGTGATAAGGGTTATAGGGTCTTGATGCTTTAAGAAAAAATCAAAAATATTATTGGCAGTCAAATATTACCAGTTTCTTCAAATCTGTAATTTTCTGCCTGTTCATTGCTTTTAATGAATTTATTAGCAGTGCTTAGCTGATATGGACCAGCTACTGCAGAGTCAGACCAAACCACAAATTAAAACTAACAGCATTGTACCATTAACTCTTTAAGAAAAGTGCATGAATGGGTTGTTAAATCCTTCAACCCTCAAAAGATCATTAACACTTTAAGTAGCTACATTTACATACCATTGGTTCAGTTGAGGAACTGGACGTAAAAAGGCGAGATGCAACATCAAAAACATTGTTTGGAAGTGTCATTGACCTTTCTGATCGCCCACGTTTTGGACGCTTACCACCCTCTCTTTGAGGATGTCTAACAGCTGTAAAAAGGGAAACACAAAAAATTCCAAGTTGTAAAGGACAAGTCCTGACAAAACTTTAAGTAAAAATCATTCTATGGTACTTCACTGACCACAATCCAAATTTACTGTACTAAGATAACCACACAAATAACTTACCAAAAATATTTATAAATGCAATTGCTTTTAATACATGATTGGCAGCTATTTCTTCGATAGTTTATCTTAAGAATAACTCAGACATCTTAAGAAAGATTTAAGCCTTTAAAATTTCTTCTCTGGCAGCCTACTGTCAAACAGAGACACTTAACTAGAAGGAAAATTGATTTGATACTTCCTTATTGATGTCACAACAAACTACATCATACAGGGTATTATCAACCCAGTTGATAAGATGAAATGGCCCCCATAAAGAGTTTCAAAGCATACATATCGCAAATATCATACAGTTTGTCTTACACACAGCTCGTTAACTCTTCAGGCTGCTCATGTATCTAGTTAGATCTCACTAGGTGAAAAATCAGATCTTAAAATCAAGTTTACCTGCAGTATTAAAAGACAAAGAATATCTTAGATTCTTGCTTTGGGCAGCTATTACTCTTGGAGGAGGTGAAGGTGTGACCTCATCATGCTGCTGTCCATCAGGGGACATTCCATCTGCCTCAGATTCAGATGCCAATACAGATGACCCACCTCTCTTAAATGAGCCACTGTTTTGAATTTTCTTCAATTCTACATGAACATCATCTTCTGGACTAAGTAATCCTGACTCTGTTTCAAAGGAATACCCTTTGGGATTTCTCAACTTTCTTGGGCGTCTTTTAGCCAATACAGGAGAAGGAGTATCTATACCTTCTTCACTTTCATTTACTTCCTTGTCATTTCTTCCATCCACACAATCGTCCATGGTTGATTCATTTGTTACTACACATTTTATTTTGCAATGGGTAGTTTGTTCTGTGGACACCATGCCATCAACAGCAATGACCATGGTTTTTGAATCCTCTCCATTTTGTCCAGAATCATCTTTGCTTGTTTCATTTGTAAATTCATTGCTTGACTCAACATTATTCTCACTCATCATTTCTAATTTTTCAATATTTTTGTAAACATTACAAAATTCTTTATCAAGATCTAATGTCTCAGATATTGTTTCTCCAAGCTTTTTTCTAGCCTCATCTGAATGGGACTGTTCAGCATTTCTATCAGGGGACATGACCTCATTTCCATTTTCTGTACTCACTGGTGTTTGTCCAGTATCAGCAACCTTCAAGACTCCATTATTACTTATCAAAGGAAATGACCCAGTCCTTTCAACTGGTTGACTCTCCGAATCATCAACAATTTTTGTGTCACATGATTCTTCCATTAGGTTAGTTATAGTAGAATTTGAATTCGTGGCATCTGTTAGAAAAACATTTTCATCACTTTGATCTGAATTCCTAGTGCTAACCATATCATCCTTGGTGGATACTGCTGAAGTTCCTTTGTCATTGCATGCTTCATCTTCAGCCTTTGGAGACTGTTTTGAGCTATTTCCAACATCAATTGAATCATTTGTAGTGATATCCACTATAACTGGACACTCGGAAGGAGGGAAATGAGAAAGCATTTGTCTTCCAGCATCATCTTCCTCACTATCACTCATAATGTTTAATGGAGATGCTTCATTTTCTCCTGTAGAATCCTCCACTGTTTTGAAGGTGTCGTTCAATGAGTCCCCTTTGTTACTGTCATCCTCAGAATCTGTTGTAACATTCACAATCTGAGTAAAATTTGGGAAAGCTGACAGGATTTCTTCTACATGGAATACTTCATCATTGTAGTTGTATTGTTCAGCACTCTGTTCCTGTTTGAAAGTAATAAAGACTGATTCAAATAGAAGATGCTACTATTTTACAAAAATAACTATGGTGTTCAGACATTGAAATATGCTTGAGCTATATAAATTTAAACACTACCCTCCACAATTTACTCTTAAGATAAGGGGGTGGAGATGCACACATAGAGAGGCCAGAGGAAGGGACATAAAACTAAAACATTAAAAGGGTGAAACTAGATGAGAAACGTAAAACTTTTGTTGTTTCAAAAACATTAACCTATAACGTCTCTAAATAGAGAGCAGGAGTATCATGGAAGTCAAGGGCAGGTGAGTGGGCACAGGAAGTGGGAGGTTCTCTCTCATGTTCTCCTTCTTCGAAGTGGATTTCATTGCTGAATAAGGCCAGATTTACCACATATCAAAAACAAGAACAATCCCATTTAATCCTTATTTGGGTGCAAAATAAATATCAAACAGCTATAGCAGTACTGGAATTATTAACTCAATCATTTACATTATAGGAAGACTGAAAATGAATTATTTTAATTATAATTAACATAATTACTGCTTGAAGAAATCAAATTAAAGTGAACAACATCACACCTCCTGAATACCACGGGCTTCTTCTGCATAGCCTACATCATATTCACCCTCAGAGCTTGTGTAGGAACTTGAGGACCACTCCTGATCGCTATCGCTGACAGAGTGTTCTGTTTCCTCTGCTGCACCAACCTCTGTCTCCACCTGCAGATCACTGTCAGGGGAATCAGTTGGGACAAGGTCAGAAACATTGGCATCATCCTTTACCGCAAATAAAGTTTTGGTTTCAATGGTTTGCAGAGACGGCTCCTTAACATTAGAGATATTCTCCAAATATCCATCTACAACTTGAAATATTGATCTCTGATTAGTCTGGTCAGACTTCTGGAATTCACAAATTTCCTCGTGGTCTGCGGTCAAAGTAGTTGCTTCGTTGCTGTTTTCACCGTTTACTAAAGCAGGGCCATCGATATTTTCTGACGTTGTTGACGGTCCTACCACAATTTTCGCAGCTTCAGGCAATGTCAAAGACAAATCTTGGTTAGTTTCCGCCTCCTCACCGGCTGAGAAAAAAGATTCTTCATCTTGAGGACTTGCGCATTCTTCTCGTGAATTTTCGAAGCCAAGAGGAAGTTTCTTATCGTCTTCAGTCTCGTTCCTTAGGTTTGAATCTTTTTCAATCGCTGCATTTTTAACTAAACTCAGCACAGCTTCGGTATCATTTTCACTGACAGCTATATTATGCGACCATGCGAAGGAATTCACAACACAAGTCCCATTGGAACCGTCATCGCTCGAGACAATTTCACCCACACAGCTGTCTTTTAAAACTCCATTTTTTGTTTCAAGTGATTTAGTATCTGTCACTTCTCTCTCTGATAAATTTTCTTCATTTAAAGGCTCCCTGCTTTCTTTTACATCTCGATTCAGCGATTTCTCCGTAGCTTGGGTGCTTGTACCGCCATTAGTGATCGTTGAACCTTGGCTGCAGGCAGGAAGAGATATGTTATCGCCTGTCTTATTGCGTTTTCCAGCTTTCTTTAGACGTGCAGGGGGAGTAATCTTCACCTCCTCTGATTCCATCATCTTGTTTTCTTTTCCTTGTGATGTTGTAATTAAATTTTGCTCCCGATCCATAATTATTTCCTCAAACGCTGGGAAAATGTCAACCACAACTTGTAAACACCCAAACAGAAACGATTAATCAGTTCATTGTCTCATGCTTTGTTAGGCTATTGCAAAATGTACAGACACTCTAACCAAATATTTAGATCAATCCAAATTATAGTCTTGTAAACAAAACAAGTCATCTATTGTGTCAGGTTGCGACCAAACTTCCAAGACTTCTCGCCTCTTGATGATCATTGCATGTAGAGTCACGTGCACATCAGCGGAAGTTACCTAGGGTGGAACGGAAGTGAGTAGCAAAAACACCTGATTGGCGGAAAATCAAGGCTACATTAGCCTGGGAGAGAAAGTGCGAATGTTCGCGTTGTTAGCCCTTGAGAGTTTTGTGCAACGACTGGTGTGCTGTCCGTGTCTACAATCTTCATACTTTCGTTGCAATTTGAAAAGGTAGGACGTTTGCTTTCACGGAGTAGCACAATAACCGGTGTCACCTCAGTTCACCTCAAGTTTCACCTCAGTAACAATAGCGTCCATTTTTCTTTTGCATCCATTTTTTGTTCGATCAAAGCGCGAAGTATGTGCGCGCAATACAAATAAGTTTGTCATTTCCATTGCACAAACGACTGGAGAATTGTACTTTCTGCTTAAAATTGAGCTTTTTGCTCATCACTGTTAAAGAAATGTGAGATTGTTCGGCGTTCGTAGTAGAAACAGTAATCACATTTTAGGCAATAGGAGGGAGTAGAACAGTAGTCAGCAAACACATATAGTAATTTAATATTTCTCGTTCCATTTTGCTTTCATCCGGAGAAACGCAAACCTTCATATCCTAATCGCTTCTCGAGGTAAATTTTGAAGGAAATTGCACCTCGGAATTACTTTAATATGTCCGTAACAAAATACACCTTTTCTGGCAAGTTTCCTTATTTACCGGTACACCTTTATTGCTCCAGAACGATAACAAGAGTCAGCTAGGTAAGGTTAAAATTCAGATGTCTTTTCAAAGCAGGCCTTTCTTTTTTCACTTCTGTAACAGGTAGAAGAATAATGTTTTGTTTAAAGCTTTGTTTTATAATTAGAATAGATTTCTCGCTTAATCCTCCACAAACTTACAACCTTATACTTCAGGTTGCGACTTATTTTTAGCGACTCCTTAGTTTAGCTAATTGGCACAAGCAACCAAATCGCCTTGGAAAAAGCTCGGTAAATTCAATATGGGTGGCTGAAGTGTACTCTCCAAAGCAGTGGTTGTGCAAGTTCTTTTCAACTCTCTGACGCCCAAAGTTTTGTGTCCAAGAAGCTGAAATTACTAAGTGATGTTGTTAGGTGGAGCTACCACTTTAACAGGAAAAAAACTCCACGGATACATAAGAATCTGCAGCAAGTAATAAAATATAAATACTTCCTAACAAAGGGCAGACAGCAAACCATGCAACTCTACTGATGTATGAGGCACTTTGCTAGTTTTGTCTGGGAATATGCTCAACATTATTATACAAAATGATCATTATATTGAAATAGAAAAAGTGTACAAAAAATAATGGCCAATTATGTAAATTGATAGGCATATGAATAACTGAAAATAAAAGAAAACTGTTTATTAATTAATTAACTAAATATTTCTGTAGACATCAGAGTTGCAGAAGTATTTCATTGGTTTTTGCATCTATACATGAATGGAAGGAAAAATTTAAGTTTTGCCAAAAAATCTTGATGTCAGTGTTGATTATATGAGAAGTAATGGTTAAATTGAAATTAACATTAACAGACAGAAGAGGTATCAAAATTGTTAAAAATAGTACTGTTTATAAAGTTACCACCTAGATATACTTGTAATAGTAAGAGTCTGTATCATTACTGGTAGGGAATGATGGTCAAAAAATTATTAAATAGGTTTTATTTTGATCAGATATGAGAAACTTGAAATAACAGAAGCATTAGAACTGTGTTGGAATTAGCATTAGTGAAGGAAATGGATGAATCTTGGACGTGAAGGAAAAATAATTTAGAACTGATCTTTAAGAAGTTGAGCTTTGTAAATGTTTTTTTTCCAAATGATTGTCTGTGGCAAGTATCTTATTAGCTGGCTTGGCTTCATTAATTTTGTTGGAGTATCTACATTGTATGAAAGGAAATTTGTTAACATAATTAACAGTAACATATCAAGTTATAGTAAGTATTGAAATGATATGTTAAAACTTTCTCAGAACTCAACTGATTTTGCTTCAACTGAAGTAAAGAGTTTCCTTATACAGAAATTTAGAAAAAGGTTCCCTTCAAAAAGGTAGATCATACACACTAACCACGTACCATGTGCCACGGATATACTGTACTTGATTATCTTTACAGCTGTAGAGAGAACATCTCCAGGTTGAGTTTACAAACACTAATTTGTTCTGTTGTGACACAGCTGAATTATGTCTGCAAGAGGTGCACGTTTGGAATATGTGGGAGACTTGGATCTGCGTCAGGAGCAGTGGGCTGCTGCCCAGGCTACAAATTATCTGGACTTCATGGCAAACCTTGATATCGACCGAGATCCTCGCACTATTCGTAACTCTGGCCTGATCTGTACTTTAGGTAGGTAACAGTCTGGGAGCACTTATTCAAAAGGTGGCTGGCATACCATTTGAGGATTGCCATTTAAACATGGTTTTGAATTCTCTTCATAAAAGCATCCATTTTATGTTGTGCCCTGGAAACTCTCATCAAGGATTTTACACCAAAAGAAAAATTTAGCCTCAGTCAAATAATGTTGCCCTTTACTATGAATCATAATTTAGTATTAACTCATGCTATTACTGCTGTTCCTCAAAGTACTCACAAAGGTGGGACAGAAAGTGATTTAATAAGTGATCTAATAGTTAAACAATGAGTAGACTCCTGTATAAATCAACCAGATATAGTGGGGAAGCTCTTTGGCTTGAAATGGGTATTTCTACTGTAGCCCAGTATTTATATCTTAAAAGTCAGCTTTGAACATGAGTGGACCTGAGTGCAGGGCTCTGGGCACTAAACTATAGAGTTATTCCCCAAAGCTTCCTTGTGACATCTGTTTTTTTTTCTTGGACTGTAAGATATTGAAATTGAGCTGTTCTGCACACCGTTTGGGTCTTGAGGGATGAATACTAGACTAGAAGTTTCTATTTGTAAAATTTGCTGTGTCATATTTTTAGGGCCAGCTTCAAGGAGTGTGGAGATTATCTCCCAGTTAATTGAGAATGGCATGAATATTGCAAGATTGAATTTCTCTCATGGGACTCATGAGGTATTCTTTTTTGGCAAGTGTTTTTGTTTTGTTTGGTTTTTGTTTCTTTTTTATACTTCTAGAATGAAATTATTTATGACTGGTAATATTTATACAAATTCAGGAAGATTCCATTATGTTCAAGATGGCTAGGGAAATTGTAACAATGCTTATCCTTGGAATAATTTGTTACATGGGTTAGACCCATGAAATTAATACCCTCTTGTGTAGTGAAGTTTATCATAATTTGCATGTTTTACACACTCTTTACCTGAAATGATAAATATATTCATCATATTAAATCCAGAATTTAAGGACAGAGTCCCTTTCTTCCTTGAAACATAAATTTTTAATGGCAAATATCTGATATAAGGAGTGCCTGCCTCCAGTATTTTTGCACTCCAAGAACCTGTAAGTAATGCCTGTCTTTCTGGACTTTCCGACATTTCCAGTATCACGCAGAAACCATTGAATTGGTAAGGAAGGCAGCAGTTGAAGAATGGCCTCATGCTGTTGCTGTTGCACTGGACACAAAAGGACCAGAGATCAGGACTGGGCTGTTGAAAGGGGTGAGTGCTCTGTAAAACTGCTTGTAATTGTAATAGGACTGGACTTCACACCATTATGTGTCTGGGTTCAAGCCTTCGCTGAAGTTAGAGTCACAAAGCCTCTCTACACCCAGGAGCCAAATGGATGCTGGGTGAAAATCATAGTTTGTGTGGCTGAATGTTTTAAAGAAGGTTTGACTTCTACATGATGGATGGGAAATCCTACTTCCTGTTATTTTGTTGCTTCCCCAACCTCAGTTTCTCCGTAAAATTCCAGTAAAATAGTGGATATACACAGGTCAGAATGGTCAGCAAAACTTTTTATTAAGAAATGCTACAGTGGTAACAAACAGGAGGAGGTCACAGTAATTTTTCTCATTGCTACATGCTAGTGTAAGAGGTGGTGGGCTAATGGTTAGTGTGCTGGAATCTTGTTAAGAGGTCTGGGTCTGAAACCTGCTTAGGTCAATGTGTGTTGTTGGACAAAACACGTAACACTCACTGTGCCTCTCTCTAAACAAGAGATAAATGGGTACTAGTGAATTGTCAGGGAAGCCTGATGAAGTGGTTAGGGGTAACCTCGCAATAGACTGGCATCCCATTCAGGAGGAAGTAGTGATATTCCTAGTCGCTTCATACAAAGGAAAGTGGGATAATCTGTGGCTGGGTGGGTGGGGCACTTGGTGCAAGCACAGAATTAACCAACCTTACCTGACCTTACTTCATGGGAGAGAAACTAAGAATAATGCTAGCCAGAATGAATTACTCTGCTACCAAGACTGTTCCTTTTTATTACATAAATGACAAGTCTTGTTTTGTTAATTTACAGGGTGGCGGTGCAGAAATTTATTTGTCCAAAGGTGATATCATAAAACTTACCACGGACAAGGCATTCTTTGCTGAAGGAGACAACGAAACCCTTTATGTAGACTATGAAAACATCACAAAGGTGATGAAGGAAGGTGGAATTATATTTGTTGATGATGGACTGATTTCACTTAAAGTCGTGGAAATAGGCTCAAACTATCTTCAAGTTGAAGTGTTAAATGATGCTAAACTTGGGAGCAAGAAGGGTGTTAACCTGCCAAATGTTGAAGTCGATTTACCAGCTGTATCTGAGCAAGACAAGAAAGATATACTTTTTGGTGTGAAACATGAGGTGAGGGTTCATTCGTTTATTTGTTTTTTGAATACGTTACTCACGTGCTGTCGTTGATTTCCTAAAACGAGTTCTTAAAGATGCCTTGATATTCAGCTGTTTTGGGATAGTGAGTTGCACACTTGTTTAGCAATCGATTTCTTTTTTCTAACTTGTTGAAAGATTCTTTTTCAAGATCGGCTCGTGAAGGTTTTATTTTCTGATGATTGGACTGGCCAGTACAGAAACGTTTGTACTTATTTTCCAGGTTGATGACTTATGCTCTTTTATTTTCATAACCCTTACTTTCAAAATTTTCAGTCCTAGAGAGTCATACGTTATGTCTATACATATGTGTACCTTTTTTGCAGGTTGACATGATCTTTGCCTCGTTTATTCGTAAAGCTCAGGACATTCACGACATAAGGGATCTTCTTGGTTCGAAAGGGCAAAATATCAAGGTCATTGCCAAGATTGAAAACCATGAAGGAGTAAAAAAATTTGACGAGATTATGGAAGCCGCTGATGGTATCATGGTGGCCAGAGGAGATCTGGGAATTGAGATTCCTCCAGAGAAAGTGTTTTTAGCTCAGAAAATGATGATTGGTCGTTGCAATAAAAACGGAAAGCCAGTAATCTGTGCTACACAGGTAATCTCAAGGGCAAATGAAACACAGCTCAATGATGCAAATTGTTGCATGCGCTCTACTCGATTTTAATGAGGAGAATTGGTTGGCCAGACAAGAATACTCATACGGAGAATTCTATTTTAGATCTTAGGTGACATCAAATTCAAAAGCCACTTTTAAAATCGGTCAAAAGTGAACAACCACCGGAACGATGAGGGCTGGGAAACACATTTACGCAAATGGCAAACATCGAAGAAAAATTTTTTTGGAAAAGATTAATAAAGAAAAGCACAGTGAATGCCATTACCTTGGTCAAAAATTAATATCTTTAAGCGGGCGCTTAGTGGCAATCAAATAGGTTTGTTCCAATTGCCAGATGAAAAAATTTGCTCCCCTAAAATTTTCAAGTCAAAGCCAAAGGCAAAAAAGGGAAATTTAAGAGGTATTTCTTCACATCAAACACAATCCGTCTTGCGAGCGAGTCTTAAAAAGCGCAACAAAATTTTTTCGCAGGCCTCGTTTCTCGAGCGCTGGTTCACATGAAGAAATTTGACATGAATTAAAGTCAGTCACCAACGGTCAACTTTTAGTTGCCTGCTGCAAAGCCTAATTTTTATTCTGCATACACCCAAAAGCTGATGACCCGAAAATAAACGAAATCTTTATGCCTACTACTAGAAGAAAACTTTCTCTCCAGGTCAGTCAATCCACTGTTTTGATAGATAAGAGAAGACTGAAACACATCAACCAGAATTATACAATGAGTGGCCTTATGAGTTCGTTGCTATTTACGTTGTGTGTCCAGAAGATTTAAGAAAAAAATGAAGGTATTTTGCTGCCCCGATTTGATAGTCCAGTAAATGAAGCAGCGCTGAAGAAACATCCAAACTAGTTTGCGGATTGTAAGTCAGTTGAGGACGCGTTTTGTTTGAAATGTTATAAATTAATATCATGTTTTATTTTTCCCACAGATGTTGGAAAGTATGATTAAAAATCCTCGTCCAACTCGTGCGGAGAGCTCAGATGTGGCTAATGCCATTCTGGATGGAGCGGATTGTGTTATGCTCTCAGGTTTGTGTCAGTGAATCCAATCAGTCAGAACAGTAAGCTAGAGAGAAGCTTAATTAAGCCGGGGCGAGGCATGTATTTTGCGCGGGAAAACTCGCATGATCTATGAAATTTGATTGGCTGAGTGGACAGTGTCGCCTCAGAAATAACCAGTTATTAATATTTGAGAAAGAGGGAGGTAGCTTGAGTCGGTTCTAAGGATCTTAGATATACGCAGTTTTGCGCGAAGTTATTCTCAATTGTTTTGTTCGTTGTTATTTGTTTACTCAAGGCGAGACAGCGAAAGGTACTTATCCAGTGCAAGCTATCGCCATGATGCACAAGATTTGTCGTGAAGCAGAGGCCGCTATTTATCATCGTCAGTTGTTTGATGATTTGAGGCACACAATGAACAGGGTGGCTGATACACACGAAACGACAGCCATCGCAGCTGTGGCAGCATCATTCACAGCAAATGCAGCCTGTATTGTTTGTCTTACACACACGGGGAAGTAAGTTAATCGTGTTCAAAAGTATGAGCGCATTTCGATTTTGTTATTTAACTAAAACCAAACTACGCCTTTTGCCCTTCAAGAACGCAAGATCAATTTTCACTTTAATGTACATTCTTTAATGCTATTGTGTAATCAATAATGACAGTTTTCAGCTACATTAACAACTCTAGAATTTCAATTAAGTTTTTGTTCCAGTAATTGCCTATCCTTCTATTGCTTCGCGGTTTAAGCAACACGGGATGTTGGTTTGCATAAACCTAAACAGGGTGTGAAATTAATTTTTTTTTTCTGATAGCCACTTGGCTCCTAAATTCTTCAAAGTGGTAGCCAATTCAAAAGAAGTTGGTCGCCATTTTCAAAGACAAACAACCTTTTTTACGCACGTTCTAGATAGACCCTCCAAAATTAAGTTAGGGGAAAGATCTTTAACGTGCTACAAAGTGGACACTAGGATGGATGATATGCAACGTTCAAGCTCACCTAAATCCAAGATGGCGTACAGTTATCGATCGAGATGCTTGTGCTGAGTTTTGGAAACAAACTTATCGAGGAAGTTTGTCGCGGATTTATCTCTTCAAATCTTTTTAATCCACTATATCTCTTGGTAAGGTTATGATGAAACATTCTAGTCGCCAATTTGGCGACTAATTTTCAGGATTTGGTCGCCAAAGTGAAAAAATTGAGTCGCATTGGCGCCTGTATTAGGCGCAATTACACGCCCTGCTAAACCATTGAGCGCGTTTTCGGACCGTTATTGCGTTCTTCGGCCTGCTCTGAACAGAATTCCCTGGCGATAGTCTCCCAGTGGAATGCCTTGACGTCTTGCTTTTTCCCGGTTGTTTAACTCCTTTTGAATGGCAGGTTAAGAGATCTCGGCCTTGATTGTAGCTTTAGAGTACTGATCGCTTGTTCCACGATGTTGACTGAAACAGACAGTAAGGAGGCAGCATCTTAAGCTCTGTATTTGCTCCAGGGTTGTTAGCATTCCGACGTGCTGGAGCTCCATCATATTTAATCATCACAAGGTCGTCCGGATTCAGGTTCTGTCTTGCGCAAAGAAGTCGTTGAAGAGGCGGACCTTCATTCTTCCAATTTGTTCTGTGAGATGACGAGTCCATTCTGCGGAAACACAGCCATGATGATCGTCACATTTCTTCCGCACATTTCTTCATACTTAACGATGCGCTCGCTCGCCAACTCTCGCTCTTCCATGACTTCTAGCCGTTCAAATTTTATAGCCGCATTCATGAATGAAAACGGGGTGATTCACAATCCCCGAGGTCATGCACCAGTTAGCGTCATCAACGCGCATCTGAATAACATCTGGCTTGTTCCTATCCGCTGGTAATGGTCTAGCCTATTTCGCACGTACCAGCATCCCGTCAAGAGCTTTTCCAATCTTCCTGTCGTGTACGAAAGGTTTTTACCTGTAATCTTCTTCGAAACTCTTGGTTTATTTCTCTCAAAGTAAGCAGGCAGTTCTCATTGATTACGACACCCAAGCACTCTTTCATTTCTTCATCCACTTTAACGTTGTTACGACCACCACGTGCCCTTTCGCGTATTCGTCCCTCCCGGACATATTTTGCTATAATGCCTTTCGCTGTAGACCTGTTTACCCCCAAGGTATCTGCAACCAAAAGGTAGTCTTCGTGCTCGCCTTCAAACGTCTTTACTAATCTTTCTCGATGTTTGTTTGGAACACGGTTACGTATTTTGATAGCCATTTCTGCAAGAAGAATCTGAACAGCTTCTTTATCAGACTCTTCGAAATCCTGTAGGAAAATTTAATAGTGAAATTGAAATTTTATTGACGAAGAATAGAATGGCACTAATAAGCACTCAGTCGCATTAAAGAATGTTTTTACGTTAAAATGATTCGGTATTGGTGTTGATGAGTACTTCTTTTGATGTAAATATTCTAAATGAACATGCAAAAATCAAGACGACAATTTTTTCGCTCACTTGATCGCACTTTGGCGTTAATGTACTATTCACTGAACCTACTGAAAATTTATCTTGCGTTCTTGAAGGGCAAATAGTGTATTTGCAACGCTCGATTAAGGCAAAGGAAAATGTCACGAAGAGCCAACGAGATGTCGAAGTAAATGAATGCAAACTGAGTGGAGGAAGAAAAAACGGGACCATTGAGTTTTGTATTTTATCTGATTGGTTGAGAGGGTTGTAAAGAAAAACTTGTGCAATAACGTTAAACGTCTTTTACTCAGCTGAAAATATTTCCATTTCTCTCTGAGATATGGTGACTTAGTAAGGTCATTAAGCGAACAAGTTGAATGTAACTACAAAATGCTCGGCAGTACACTATGTGGTGTTCTTACTCCAAGTGCTGTAAAGAATCGAGTCAGAAGAATTTCCAACTAGGTGATGTGTAAGTTTCTTATCCGTATTTCAGAAGAAATTAAACTAAATTTTTTGCATCGCATTTTTGAAATAACAGTTTGCTTTTGCTCTGGCTTTTAGGACTGCTGAAGTTGTGTCACGATTCCGGCCTCGTTGTCCAATTATAGTAGTGACACGTGATGCGCGCGTGGCCCGCCAGATGCATTTGTATCGAGGCTGCTTTCCTCTCATTTACGACAAACCGCCCAAAGACAATGTACTGGAGGAACATGACGAGAGACTCGAGTTCGCGCTGGATATGGGCAAAAGGATGGGCTTCATGAAACTTGGCAATACGTTCGTGTTCGTATCTGGGTGGAAGGCAGGTGCAGCTCACACTAACACTATCCGTATACTGACTATTATGGAGGAAAAGATTCATATTGCCAAGAGCTTGTCGGAGTCCGCTGACCTCAAAGGAAAAATGCAGATTCCCAAGTAGTTATCAGCATTCGGTAGCTGTCTTGAATCCCAATTCCGTGTTTTGCTGTTGTGATCAGGGTAAAATTAGAATCGTTAACTACAATGGTTTTCCGTATTCTAATTGGATATTTTCGTTTTAAATAATAAGAGTGAATTTTGGAAAGAATTTTTTTTTTTTATTTATTAGCGCTCGATGGCTTTGCTTTCATTTGGTCTAAAGTTTTTTTACGTCTTTCGTGGATCTATTTCAACTCAAAGGAACTAACTTTACAGTACTGGTGTGATTTTGGGCTTTGTTGTGAAATATAGCGGAAATGAAAAGAGTGAAACAAGTGCGGTGTGCATTGGTGAGAATACTGATATCATAAAACTTTGTTGTATAATCGAAAAAGTAATCAACAGCAATCAACTTTAAGACGCACTAAATAGTGAAGTCTGTTATCATAGAATATTAACTGATGATTATGACGGGTCTAAATAAAGATATGAACTAATCTTTGCGACGTTACCTCAGTTTTCGAAAAAAATAAATAAATAAAGGAACTCCTACGGGTTTTGACAAGTTGATGTCAAAGGTTTGTGTTACATACAAGATTGTTGGCTTGTGGTTTCACTTCTGCCCATACTTATTAGTAACATACTGAGATACTCTTATACTGTTGATGAGTTAGACACTTTTTGAAGTTTTGAGAGAACGGGTCCGTCTATGAAAACCAAAAAACTTCGACATGTTTAAGTTAAACTAATCAGCATATGGGCCAGGATATGTTTGTGACTGATGCTCCATAACATCTGTTCCAAGAGCTCTCCTGGTAACGGCTTGTAACATTCCAACATCACTCGACATTACAGAGCTGTTTGGGTGAGGCACATTAGGTGAGGAATTCAACAGTTGAAATTCTCTTGGTGCATTACCAAAGCAGCAGACGTGTTGAGCGCCGTCGAACAAACTAACTGCAGGATTTGAACTGCTCCCACGGTTTTCTTTTCTCCACCTAGCTCGTCTGTTCTTAAACCAAGTCTGAAAGAGATTGGTCGGAAAATTGAATTTTGCGAAGAGACTTGCCGCTGGGGAGAGAAAACTAGTTACATATTTCACTTTACAGTGCGATGAAATCTCACTGAATTGAAGCCAGCCTTTTTGCATTAAATTTTGTAACCACTCAAGAGTGGCAACTGTTTCTCTGTCTTTACGGCAGTAAAGCAGAGGTCATGCAAACTCTACTCCCTCATTTGTTGATAATAACCTCGCAACAATTTTTCGGACACGAAGCGACCCAATCAGCATTTTGTACTTAATCCTTAAAAATTTTTCGACTAAGCATACGGTGTTCTTCTGCTCACAGCTCTATTTCGATACATTTATGCAAAGAAACCCCTATTTGTGCTTCTTTTACCTTCATGAGCGGGTTTTGTGATACCGTTTGCATTTCTACTTTTAAAACTGGCAGAAAAACTACGTATATCTCACCAAAATGACTTCTTGAGAGGTCCCTAGTTTCTGTGATAGTGATTGCCTTATCTTTGGTGAAATGTACTGTGATTGGCTGAAAATGGTTTCCAGCTCTTTCCGTTGCCAGGAAGTGAACTGTGTTCTCCGCTTTATGATTAGCTTGCCTGGGTCATTTCCTGACAACCCTTTTGGCTGCAAAGCTGAAAATAAACGGCCGTGGTCAAGAAATTTTTAATATCAGGGGTTTTGGACATGTAGTCTTAATAGAGTAATAAACGATTTTGTAGCCAGTTACTCCATTATTTTAGCTTCGATAGATTAAAACCGAACAAACAACTCCAGCTCTAATAAAGAAACCAAGAGAAACGTAATCAGTACGGTGGTGACGAGCTTGCCTTAAAAACAGCTGAGCCTAGGGTACTATTTAAAAAACAAGTGCAATTGTCCAAACACGACACGATGTGCGAGTTTTTGAAACAGCTTCCGCGCCTCGAGAAGAAAGAAAAATGGAAATATTCACGAATTTTTCCCATCCTGTCGGCAAGTTTTCTGGTTTCGTGTTAAAGAAATGAGTTTATCAGAGTTTGATGCTTGAACTCATTGTGATGCGTTAACTCATCGTGTTAGTGGCTGTCTTAGGATCTTCCATTAAACCGACGCAAAGTCAGCTGTTTAAATCATTGTTTTAGTGGGTATCTGAGAATCTCAAAAGGAATGCTCAAAAGCATGTTACCCGAATGGTTTACAAGTAACTTATGTGGAAAAATGCAAAACTGAGACGATGAGGATTAAATTATCCCCTTTTGTTTGCTCTCTGTTAATCCTGACACAAGAGACCAACTTAAATCTATGTTCTAACAAAGGACTAAAGTTCTAAACGTCAGTTTTTCCCGATTCGTCAGGGTGGACTATCTTTTTATCAACTTTTAGTTGGTAATCAGCAGGGTACAAGCTCTGAGGGATCGATCGTACATTTGCAAATTATTCGTGCCTCACGATTGAAACTTACAATCACGTGCCACGATCTCAGCGATCCTCTGCTGCTGACTGAAGCTGATCAAACTGGAATTAGAGCCCATCTCTGGCCTGGAATATACATAAGTGAAGCTCGTTGCTGTTGATGGATTAGTGTCCATGGGAAAATATGACTCAGACTGAGTCCGACTACAACTGGTAACAAAGGGCGGGAAAAAGGCCATGGCCACTGGAAAAAATAGGAGAGTTGACCCTTTCTAACATAGCTGGGTTGATTTATAGCCTCACTTTGTGAGATCCTTACGTACATTCTGCATCATAGGCATCCTATGTTAGGTCAAAAATTCTTCCGGCAGAAAGTGACGTATTCTATTATTACGACAGTTTCAATTCTACATAAATCTAAAAAAGTTCAACTACGACAAAGCTTCTGGTCAAAATAAAATAAATCCCGAGTCTGTTTATGTTTGTGGCTGTGGTCGTCTGGGAAACGAATCCTGTGACGACCAGTCTTTACGAAAGCAGAGTTGCGCCTTAAATTGATGTTGCAATCTTTCCCATTTTTAGAATTTTTATCGTTGTTTGTTTTTATCCGTTTCCCCAGCAACATAACTTTTTGACGTATTTGCCAACTGGGTGTTAATCTGATCAACTGCTCATTACGAAAGAATTTTAGACCGCTGACCACAATGGACGTTGGACAGTTTGAGAAACGCCGTCCGTCGCCACATTAGCCTGGAATTTTGAGTTTTTCTTACGTTATGAGATAAATTGTCTACATCATAAACTCTCCTCCAAAGTGCTGCTTTGAAGTTAAAGGAAAAAATGATTAAAAAAAACAACGGAGTGGCAAAATGAAAAATCCCAGAAACCCTTTTAGTTCAATACATGCAGATCACGTTCCGATAAAAAAACTAAAGGTGATGACGAAAAGCGACGTTGATAAAATAAGCTCCCATTCTGTTGAATGGTCAAAATTTCAAAGTAAATCAAATATCCTACCTAAGCGTTTCTTTCATGTACTGTAAATGTATACTTTTTGTAGGGATAGCACGAATAATTTGCATGTTATTTCAGTTACTGAACGAAAATACGATACCTTAAATGGTTCTGATAAAACCGGGTTTTAGTAATTCATATTTTGTTAAAAATCCCGCGTGGTATACCGGCATTTTAAAACATCAAGTGAAAGTTTAACTTTTAATGGTTTGTCACTAGTTCAGTTTAATTTTACACTTTACTTTTTCCCAAGAGGGTACGGTAACGATTCCTAAAATCTGATTGGTCGTTAATGAGGTCCGGATCATCCTATCGACGCCCACGGGTACGGTTACGCTTTCGTGTGTCGCCTAGTACATCTCCTGTTTCCTTGCTTTTTTTCATTTATGTATTTCGCTTTGCTGGCCATGGCTGGGCAACATTAAATTTTTTGAAGACTTCGTTCATGATCTCAAGCCGATTAATTTCTTAATAATTGTTTTCTCTCTCCCTCAAATCACTTTGGTTGCTTGCAAAAAGTTGGTTTCGAAACGAGTTTTTGATAGCAAATATGTTAATTCTTATCCTTCAGCTTTTTGCGATCGTATCGGTCGGGGAGACTATGTCACCGTTCTAAAAATTTGGTGAAAGTTTCCTAATTCCTTGAAAGAAAAGTTGTCTCCAAGGAGTCGCGACTCGTGAGTCAGAGTAGAGGGTTTCAATAGGGTGATGGCTTTTTCGATTAAAGGTTAAAATTTGTCACTTTCTACGTCTAATGGCTAATTTTTTGGCCGTTGTACGGCTAATGGTTAACCCCATGGAGACCCTCAGTGTATAATTTCATGGGATGTACTTTGATCATCTAGATACTCACTTACCGTAACTGAAGCCGCAAATAAAACGGGATTTGAAAGTTTGATACATATTATCAATGCCTTGAGTCATGACCTAGAGCTAAATATTTTACCGTCCAGCCCGAGCAAACTCAGTCAATGAGCATTTTATCATATGACCACTTAAGAGGACGCGATACACGGGCAAACGCGGGACAACCACAAAAACTATTCTGCAATTAAAACTTTTCCTTTGTTTTTCGAGTCAGAACAAGAGACTCACAATTCATCGAAAAATACGACTTTATTAGTCTTTTCTTTTTTCCTTTAGGTTTTTGCTACAAAGCCGTGAGAGCGCAGGGCCGGACGGCGGCCTTTTGGGATCGGCTCCAGTCAACCTTTTCGGCCTTGCATTCGTCAGCTTTCACTGTGGTTTTCTACGGGATCATGCTCGCGGGGCCAAACGGGTCATGTTATTACCTCAGTTATTCTCAGCTGTTTTTGAAATGAACTTAGTACATGACCCAACGTAACTCAGTTAATAAGCTTTTTCTTTCTCTTCGGATTTTCCTTCCTTGCTAACGCCATCACGTGTGGTCCTCATACGGGAATTGTTGCCAAGTATAATAACCAAAAGCGCGTGGGGCCGTGCGGGTCATATGGTAATTCAACCATGTGAGATTTCTTCATCAGAACTAGAGTGTCTAAATTTACCAAATTCTTCATCAATCCTGCGTCAAACACAGAAATTAACTGCGGTATAAAAACAAAACAGGGATAAAATGATAATGAAACTTAATTGCTGGTAAAGTGTTAACGTAGCCTTCTGTCGCCGTTGTCAAATCAGCACATTTCAGATAAATTTCATAGTTGGAAAAATGACATTTGGTTTAATTTTCAGAAACAGAAGTTATTTATGAAAAATCGGAACAAGCCACAACATTCCCTGATGAGACTTGATGAACAGGTAGTCACATGATATCGAGGTCGGTTGTCATATGATATTGTAAAACTGATTTATCATCCAAAGATTACAACTCAAGGAGGGCTTACCATGATGGCACGCAGCATGATGGAACTCAGCACCCTTTGCACCTAGGCCATAAATCTGAGCGCAAAAAGCTCGGCCTGTTAATTAAAGTACAGACTTCGAGCTCGGTTGGTATGGGGTAATCGTATGCATTATAAAAATTCCAAGATAGGCGTTATTTCAGGAAGTACACATTTAAATTCAGGCTGGGCCTCTGTAACGCAGGTCCGATGGACCTG